AATAACTCTGGTAAACATATATGCACCCAATAGAGGAGCACCCAAATACATAAAAAACTTCTGGAGGCCTTAACCAGTCTGGCTCTGTGGATAGAGTGTCGGACTGTGGACTGAAAGGCCCCAGTTTTGATTCCAGTGAAGGGCATGTACCTTGGTTGAGGGCACATCCCCAGTAGGAGGGGTGCAGGAAGCAGCTGATCGATGTTCCTCTCTCCTCGATGTTTCTAACTTTATATCCCGCTTCCATCCACTCTGTGAAAAAATCAATAAACTATATATTTTAAAAAACTTCTGGAGGATATCAAGGGAGAGATCGACAGCAATACAATCATAGTGGGGGACTTTAATACCCCACTATCACCATTGGACAAATCCTCTAAACAAAAATTCAGTAAAGAAACATCAATCCTAAATGACTCAGTAAATCAGATGGAATTAATTGACATCTTCAGAATATATCACCCCAAAGCCACAGAAAATAAATTCTTCTCAAGTGTACATGGGTCATTTTCAAATATAGACCATATATTGGGTCACAGGCAAAGTCTCTTCAAATTCAAGAAGATAGAAATCATATCAAGCATCTTCTCAGATCACAATGGCATAAAACTGGAAATCAACTACAATAAAAACAATCCAAAAACATCAAACACATGGAGACTAAATAGCATGCTATTAAACAATGACTGGGTTACCAGAGAGATCAAAGAAGAAATAAAAAACATCATGGCAACAAACAACAATGAAAACACAACAATCCAAAATATATGGGACACAGCGAAAACAGTCTTGAGAGAGAAGTTCATAGCTCTACAAGTTTAATGCAAAAAAAACCAAGAAACAATGGTAATAAATTCCTAACCCTACAACTCAAAGAGTTAGAAAAAGAGCAACAAGAAAAGCCCAGTGTAAGCAGAAGGAAGGAAATAATAAAGATTAGACTGGAGATAAACAACATATAGACCGAAAAAAAAAAAAAACATACAAAAGATCAACAAAACCAAGCGCTGTTTCTTTGAAATGATAAACAAGAGTGATGAACCTCTAGCCAGTCTCACCAAGAAGCAAAGAGAGAGGACCCAAATAAACCAAATCAGAAATGAAAGGGGAGAAATAACAACAGACCCCACAGAAATACAAAGGATTGTTAAAAAAAATACTATGAACAACTCTATTCCAACAAACTGGACAAGCTGGAGGAAATGGACATATTCCTAGAAAAATACAACATTCCAAAACTCAATCAGGAAGATTCTAAAAATGTCAATAGGCCAATAAATATGGAAGAAAATGAAGCAGTCATCAAAAAGCTTCCAGCAAACAAAAGTCCAGGGCCAGATGGCTTCACAGGGGAGTTTTACCAAACATTCAAGAATGAACTAAAACCTATCCTCCTCAGGCTACTACAAAAAATTCAAGAGGAAGGAACACTTCCAAGCTCATTCTATGAAGCCGGCATCATCCTAATACCAAAACCAGATAAAGACAACACAGTGAAAAATAATTACAGGCCAATATCCCCCATGAACATAGATGACAAAATCCTCAACAAAATCCTAGCAAATCAGATCCAGCAGTACATCAGAAAGATCATATACCATGACCAACTAGGATTTATCCCAGGGAAGCAAGGATGGTACAATATCCGCAAATCAATAAACGTGATGTATCACATAAACAAATTGAGAGATAAAAACCACATAGTCATATAAATTGATGCAGAAAAAGCATTTGACAAAATCCAATACCCATTTTTGATAAAAACTCTCAGCAACGTGGAAATAGAAGGATCATACCTCAACATAATGAAAGCCATATATGACAAACCCACAGCCAACATAATACTCAATGGGCAAAAACTAAAACCATTTACCCTAAGAACAGGAACAAGACAGGGATGCCCTCTCTCACCACTCCTGTTCAACATAGTACTGGAAATACTAGCCATTGTGATCAGACAAGAAGAAGAAATAAAAGACATCAAAATTGGAAAAGAAGTAAAACTGTCCTTATTCATAGATGACATGCTATTGTACATAAAAAACCCTAAAGATTCCATCAAAAAACTATTAGACTTAATAAATTAATGTGGCAATGTAGCAGGATACAAAATTAATGCCAAGAAATCTATGGCCTTTTCATACATCAACAATGAACTCTCTCAGAAAGAGAAAACAAGAAACAATCCCATTTACCCCAGCAACAACAAAAAATATGATGTTTATGAATAAACTTAACCAAGGATGTAAAAGAGCTGTATTCAGAAAACTACAGGACATTGAAAAAAGGAACTGTAGTCATAAAAAAGTGGAAAAATATACTGTGTTCATGGATTGGGATAATTAACATCATTGATACTACCCAAAGCAAAGTATCAAGTCAATGCAACCCCTATTAAAATACCAACAGCATACTTCAAAAACCGAGAACAAACTCTACAAAAATTCATCTGGAATAAAAAAAGAACCCAAATAGCTGCAACAATCTTGAGAAAGAAAAACAATGTTGGAGTGATCACAAGACCAGATATCAAGCTATACTACAAAGCCACTGTTCTCAAAACTGCCTGGTACTGGCACAAGAACACACATATAGACCAGTGGAACAGAACAGAGAACCCAGAAGTTGACATAAGCCAGTATTCTCAATTAATATTTGATAAAGGAGGCAAGAGCATACAATGAAGTCAAGACAGTCTCTTCAATAAATGGTGTTGGGAAAAATTGAACAGATACCTGCAAAAAACTGAAACTACACCACCAACATACACCATACACAAAAATAAACACAAAATAGATAAAGGACTTAAATGTAAGATGGGAAACCATAAAAATCTTAGAAGAAGCCATAGGCACCATAATAGCAGACATTTGTCATAGCAATATCTTTACCTATACAGCTCCTAGGGCAATGGAAACTAAAGAGAAAATAAAAAAATGGGACTCATCAAAATAAAAAGCTTCTGCACAGCAAAAGAAACCATCAATAAAAAAAAAACAAAAACAAACAAACAAAAAAAACCAAGAAAACCCACTGCATGGGATTACACATTTGCCAATATTATCTCTGATAAGGGTTTAATCTCCAAAATTTATAGGGAAATCATACAACTTAACAAAAGCAAGATAAATAATCCAGTCAAAAAATGGGCAAAGGACCTAAATACACACTTTTCGAAAGAGGGCATACAGAAAGCCAAAAGGCATATGAAAACATGCTCAAAGTCACTAATCATTCAGGAGATGCAAATCAAAAGAACAATGAGGTACCATCTCACACCTTACAGAATGGCTATCATCAATAAATCAGTAAACAACAAGTGCTGGAGAGGATGCAGAGAAAAAGGAACACTTGTGCACTGCTGGTGTGAATGCAGACTGGTGCAGCCACTATGGAAGACAGTATGGAGTTTCCTCAAAAAGTTAAAAATGGAACTCCCATTTGACCCAGTGATCCCACTTCTAGGAATATATTCCAAGAAAACAGAAACACCAATCAGAAAAGATATATGCACCCCTATGTTCATAGCAGCACAATTCACCATAGCTAAGATTTGGAAATAGCCTAAGTGCCCATCAGGAGATGAGTAGATTAAAAAACAGTGGTACATATACACAATTTAATACTATGCTGCTATAAAAAGGAAGGAAATCCTAACATTTGCAACAGCATGAATGGAGCTGGAGAGTATTATGCTAAGCGAAATAGGCCAGTCAGAGAAAGATAAATATCACGTGATCTCACTCATTTGTGGAATATAAAGAACATTATAAACTGATGAACAAAAACAGATCCAGATACATAGAGTCATTGATCAGAATGTCAAACCTCAGAGGGAAGATAGGGGAGGATGGGGGTAAGGGGAACAGATCAACCAAAGGACTTGTATGCATGCATATAAGCCTAACCAATGGACACAGACAACAGGGTGGTGAGGGCATGAGTGAGGAGGGATAATCAGGGAATAAAGACACATATGTAATACCTTAGTTAATAAAGAAATTTAAAGAAAGAAAGAATATATGCAGCCCTATGTTCACAGTAGCACAATTTACTAGTATAATAGCCAAGATTTGGGAACAGCCTAAGTGCTTATCAGTTGATGAGTGGAATAAAAAACTGTGGTACATGTACATAATGGAATACTACACCGCTGTAAAAGAGAAAGATCTCTTTCCATTTGCAACAGCATGGATGGACCTGCAGAGCATTATGCTAAGTGAAATAAGCCAGTCAGAGAAAGATAAGTATCACATGATCTCACTCTTATGTGGGATATAATGATCAACATAAACTGATGAACAAAAATAGAGCCAGAGACAAGGTAGCACTGAACATATCTTCCAACCTCAGAGTGAAGGCAGTGGAGGCGGGGGGTGGGGGGGTTAGGGATCAACCAAAGGACTTGTATGCATGCATATTAGCATAACCAATTGACACACAGACACTGAGGTTGTGGGGGCTTGCCCTTGGTGGTGGGAGTGGCCAGGGGGGTGTCAATTGGGGAAAAAGGAAACATATGTAATACTTTAAACAAGAAGAAAAAAGGGAAAAAAGACAAGATGGGAGTGAGAAATTGAAAGGAGTATAATAAATATATAGGAACTGTGATGGTGAAAGACTTAGAAGCCCTCTGTGGAGCCCTTACTCCATGCCTTGAAGAGGGAATGATTTGAGTAAAAAGGCAATATACCTAGGAAAACAGTGATGAACCAAGAGAGAGCCTAGGGTCACTATGGCCAACAGAGTGGTTATCTGTATTCTTCTCCATCATACTTCTTGGTAGCTTTCAATTTTCATCCTATAGCCCAAAGGCCATTAACAATATGTTCTCCTCTACCTCTTGGTAAGCTTCCTGAAAACCATCATCCTTAACATTCCACTTACCTCACTGTATTCCTGGAAAGTTGCTCAAAATATGAGCTTTCATGTAATTAATCCACTTTTAGATAGAAAAAAGAACACAGTGCAAACCAATACAATTCATAACACCTTCTTACCTTTTTCTGCTCGGCTCAAAACAGTGACTGTAAAAAGAGAGAAAAAGAAAAAATTTTTTAATATTTAAAAACATTATTTTCCTAAGCCATTTCTCCATAGCATTATTTTTAAGAAAGACTGTCAATGGTACTTTAGGAAATCATCAGCCTGCTGAGACAAGGGAAGGTAAGAATTACATTTCATTCTTTGCTATCTTCCTTTATCTTAAACTTCGAGTACTTAAGAATTTCTACTCATTCAACAAATACAGGTATAATCTTGTTAAAAATAAAACAGCAAATGGAAATGCCAAAAAAATTAAAAACGTAAAAACTTCTCAGTTAGGAAATCATTATTCATTTTCAAAAAGTATTCACTGTAGAACATCTTCAAATACCAAGCATTTCTTGTATACTTAGAGGTAACATCGTGTGGGGATTTCATGCCAGCTCGGAAGTAGAAATATCTGGGTGAGAATCTCCATTACAATACTTTGTGGCCCTGTGCAAATTCTTTAACTTCTCTAACAGTACCTACCTCACAAGGTTACATGAGATTTAAATAAGTTAACACATGAAAATGCTATTCAGCATTATATCTGGCAAAAGGTAAGTGCTTAATGAATATTAATTATTATTATATATGAACTAAGATATTATAGAATATCAAAACTGAAAAGGAACTTAGCAATTATCTGATGTTTCTGTGTCATTTCAAAGATGGAGAAAATGGACTAGAGTAGTATGAAATGATTTCCTCAAGATTATAGTTCAAGTTAGCAGTAGAGTAAGGAATAGATTGCAACCTCAAGGGCTTTTCCATGTGCTTTATCAAACTTTCTCAATAATTTCTTTCTGTCCAATTGTGATATATACATATATTTTGTTCATAATGTCATTTGATGATGTGAGGCCTATGTGTCTTTATTCACCAACCGCATCTGTATATACGTATACTAGATCCTAAGGTAAGATTAAATTAAAAGGCAAAACCAGGTGAAGACACTACAAAGAAAGAGAATTGCAGGCCAATATCCCTGATGAATATAGATGCTAAAATCCTCAACAAAATTCTAGCAAATCAGATCCAGCATTACATTAGAAAGATCATACATCATCACCTAATGGGATTTATTCCAGGGATGCAAGGCTGGTACAATATCCACAAATCGATAAAGATGATACATCACATAAACAAATTGAGAGACAAAAATCAATTAATCATATCAATTCATGCATAAAAGGCATTTGACAAAATCTAACACCCTTTCCTGATTAAAAAAAACTCTCAGCAAAGTGGGAATAGAGGGATCATACCTCAACATAATAAAATCCTCATATGACAAACCTACAGGCAACATCATACTCAATGGGGAAAATCTAAAACCATTTCCCCTAAGAACAGTAACAAGACAGGGATGCCCACTTTCACCACTCCTGTTTGACATAGTACTCGAAGTGCTAGTCATAGCAATCAGACAAGAAAAAGAAATAGAAGGCATCCAAATTGGAAAGGAAGTAAAATTGTTATTATTCACAGATGACGTGATATTGTACATAGAAAACGATAAAGACCGCATTAAAAAAACTACCAGAACTAATAAATGAATTCAGCAATGTAGCAAGATACAAAATTAACACCCAGAATGTTGTCACTCTAGTCCCACTTCAGGAGTCCATTTATGCCGGGGTTCATGTCCCAGCATCAAGAAGGGTTCAGGAATCTGGAAAAGGGGCTGTGCGTAGATGACATAGAAATCCAGAGACTAATAAAGAATCCGGAGATGAGATATAATTTTGAAAGGCATTGGGGGTCAAGGACCTTCAGCTAAAGGAACTGAAGAGTGTCCCTTCTTGTCTAGGACCCTTGCTTTTATTAACACAATTTCTCCTAAGGCAAGGTGGAGATAATACACTTCAATGGGTAAGGTTTCAAAGGGTACAGAGTCCATTGTCAGAATGGGGGAATAGCCTACGGCTGTTCAGGTGTTTGGCCAGTAGGAGGCAATAACATGTAGATTAAGATGCCCTTTCACTGTCTGGCAGCCACAATCAGTTTCCTATGCAGGTTTGGGGAAATGCCTTTAGCCATTCCCAACAGGTGACTACATGTGTGACTCAACCCTGTTGAGTCCCCAAGTTTCATCAACCTTTTGATGGAACTCTTAAAATTATGACATGCTGGAATTGGTCTACAGCACCAGAAATCTATGGCTTTTTTATACGCCAATAATGAACTCACAGAAAGAGAAACTAAAACACAATCCCATTTACCATTAAAAAAAATAATAATAAGATACCTATGAATAAATTTAACCAAGGAGGTAAAGAAACTGTACTCAGAAAATTACAGGATGCTGAAAAAAGAGATAGAGGAAGATATAAACAAATGGAAGAATATACCGTGTTCATGGATTGGTAGAATCAAGATCATTAAAATGTCCATACTATCAAAACCAATCTATAGATTCAATGCAATCCCCATTAAACTACCAATGGCATACTTCAAAGACCTAGAAAAAACTCTCCAAAAATTCATCTGGAATAAAAAAAAAAAGACCCTGGTCCGTGCCATCTTGAGTGGCTGTTTTCAGAAGCATATACATCCTGAGACCCTGCAACCACGGCACCCAGGAATCGGCTACTGACCCAGAAACACTGGATTTAAAGCAGCTTGAATACATGGACTCAGAGGAGCCCTGCTCCTCCTCAAGGAAAGGTCAGATTCCGCCTTGATAAGGGTGCGGTTTGCAATTCAGGTTGGAGAGAGGAACGTGCATGGGGAAATCTGCACCCCACAAGGTTCACGGCCTGTGGGGCCAGTGTGATCCGTGAGTGTGGAAGGGGTCTCACAGGACTGCTGCCAGAAGGGAACTCTAAAAATAAGCCCATAGCTGGACTGGGTGCAAAAAGGCAGCCTCGGATTTTACCAGTGTACCCACTGCTTAGTGCCAGGGGAGAGAGGATGTGCGGAAGAGACTGCGCACAGAGCTGGACGGTGGAGGGTTGCGAGAGCTCGTGCACCTCCTCAGGCCCTTCTTTTTCTCTCTCTCCCCTTTAAATCTTTGCATTTGATTATTAAACCCAATACATAGGATCGCCCAATTGGGGTCACTCGCAGAGACTGCAGGGAAAAGTTGTTTTTGTGGAACCTGGGAATCAGAGCTGGGAGTAACAATCAAAGAAACAACTCTGTGGCAGTCGACTCTCCCAAACTACTGGCTAGAGAGGACTTATAGCCTCGGAGGTCAATCCAGAAACACTACCACCCAGGGGCTGAACCAAAAACTGACACTTCTGTAAACACACATAAAGGCAGTCTGGGAACAAAATACAGCCTACTTTAAAATCAGAACTGTGGTTTACAACACGGAGGAACAGTGTATCGCAGGGAATTTCAACACTCTCCTGAATACCTGACAGGACTAAGGCATGTCAAACAGAAGAGTAGAGGAACTGAAGGACTTCACTACTGCACATTTTTATTTTTTTATCTTATTTTTTTCAACTTTTACGTAAGAAACTAAATTTTTTAACACCTGATTTTACCTTTTTAATTACTACATTTTTATTTTTAACCAGTATTATTACTACTACCATTTTACCTTTTTTAAAGTGTCATTATATTTTCTCTTTATCTTATTTTGGGATTAGTGTTCTAAATTCTATTTTCATCTTTCCTTTAGCATCATTTTACTCTACCTCAACTTTACCTTTATGCCAAAACTATCCTCCTCACTTTTCCCCTTTTGTTGTCCTGTTTCTCTTACCCTATTCCTGCTTTACATTTTCCCTTTTCCTTCTGTTTACCCCCTGTTAAAATTTCACCCTACTTATATATTTCTAATTTCCAATCCCCTGCTCTAAATCCATATACACCTCTCTCTTCTCTTTCTTCACTATCCAATTTTTTTTCACTCTCTGTCATTTGGTTGTTGTTTACTTGATTGTTCAGTATATTGGGTTTTTTATAATGCTTGTTTGTGAGATTGTTTTGCTTTTTCTTTCTATTTTTCTGTTTGTTTATTTTTGGTATTTTTTTTCTTTTCCGGATATATATATATTTTTTTTTTGCTCCTGTTTTCCCTCGCCTCGCTTGATATCAATTGTTGTTTGTAGTTTGCATTCTGTTGCTGGAATTTGTTGGGATTAGTGGCTGTTCTATTGGAGTTTTCTCCCCATATAAATAGTTTCTTCCCCTCTTCTATTTCATTCTCTTTCTTTTCTCTCATACTTTTTTTTCCTTTTCCAAATTTAATTTTTGCACTCCTTTTTTTCTTTTTCTCTTCTTTCTTCCTTATCCCCTAATTCTCTCTGATCTGGTGGTCACCTTTATTTGGGGTTATTAGTATCATGAATACATTTGTGTTCAGTGCCTTCTGCTTTGTGCCTTGTTGTGTTGTACTTTGTGCCTTTAAATCAACACAGCAGAGAGGGAAATACATAACCAAACACCTGGAAAAGAGAGATCATGGGGAAACAAAGAAACAGCCCACATATGAAAGAAAAACAGCCATCACCAGAAAAGGAAGTAAACTAAATGGAGGCAGGCAACCTGTCAGAAAAAGAATTCAGAGAAATGGTTATAAGATGGATGAAAAGAATGGAAGACAAATTCAACAATATGTGTAAGAACCAAGAGGAAATGAAAAATGGCATCACTGCTATAAAGAACTCAATAGAAAGCATCAACAGTGGACTAGAAGAAACAGAGGACTGCATCAGTGAGCTAGAAGACAGGGTAGGAAAAAATACCCAAGCAGAACAGCTTCTAGGGAAAAAAAATTAAAAAGCACAAGGATAGCCGAAGAGAACTTTGGGACAACACAAAATGAAACAACATCCGCATAATAGGGATGCCAGAAGGAGAGGAAACTGAGCAAGGAATAGAAAACCTGTTTGAAAAAATGACAGAAAATTTCCCTGATATAGGGAAGAAAAAACTCACACAAATCCAAGAAGTTCACAGAGTCCCAAACAAAATGAACACCAAAAGACCAATGCCAAGGCACATTATAATTTAATTGGCAAACACTAATGACAAAGAA